ACAGCTAGATGCGCCATTCAGGGCCAAGTTGAGTCTTACAAATAACTCATCAGGAGGCACATCTTTAGCATTTGGACTAGTTATGATCTATACGATGTAAATATTCAAGAAATGAGGTTAAATGAGCGATCGTATTAGGAAAACGCAAATGCCAGCCTAATGAACACATTCTTTTGGTCAGATGCTTAATGGTTTGCAATTATTACTGCGTTTGTCCATTATTCTTTTGACTAAGTGCTATTTATTAAAATTGATTTTGACTTTTGGCCTTTTATAAATTAGGATAAGTAAATAACTAGCAGATCTAGGCTATCGTCTATATTCGACTTTGACTCATCGTATTGTGTATTACTAGAATCTGTACCATCCATCTTCCTTATCTGCGCAACCACAAAAGTACGGTACTTTTTGTTAACAAGATATAGCTATTATATTCTCCATGAATTTCTGTGATGACTGGATTTAACATTTAATTTATCTACATAGCTATCAGAGAAGACTGGGTTTCGAAGAATCTATTAATCTATTGACGGTTAAGTACCTTTCGTTTCGTTTTAAGAGGAGAGTGGAATTGATTCGTAAGTCGTACTACTATAAACGATTTGAGCCTTATGGAGATATCGGATGAGATCGTTGTAGTCCACGTTGGATGAAAGCTGCCTTCGAGATACGTTTTTCGGTGAACTTCAATGCAAACGCAGTCCTTGGTTTGATTTACATTTATTTAATTGGCTGTCCATCTCTTAAACGCTATAGAAAAAAAGCATCTTGTCAAAATACATATTCTCTAGTATTAAAAATGTTTTAATGTATAATTACTATTTTTATTATAGTTTATCAAGTAAAAGCAAAGCATTGCACGGATGACACAAATATAATGGCATATAAGCTATATTGGCCGCCTTAATTTTGAATATCTTTTTACTTATATTATTCAAATACAGCATTTCTTGTTACTATATTGTCTTGTCATGCAAGACAGTCTGAAATTAGTGTCCATGTTATTTCAGCTAGTCCTGAAATGTACTATACAATATATTCTACATATTCGATGAATAGTTATCGAAACTCAGATATAAAATAAGAGGTCGAATAACCTTAGTTAATTTTTGGTTAATTTTCCCAAATTTGATAAATTGAATGTCCAAATGGTAACATTAGATTTTTTTCAAATAGATATTACTTTTTTAATTGCGTATTTTTTAATAACCTTTGATGTTGCAGTATTGTTTGCTTAATATCTCCAATTAAAAATATATAATGCGATTTTCGATCTCCCATCAATATACCGCTCCACCTTTTATTTCCAGTTATAATTTTGTTCTGGTCGGGGAGCCTTGCCACTCTATATGATACATTATTTAATTAGTCATATATTTTTGATTTAAACTGTTATGGGAAATTTCCACTTCTACCTTTTCAAAATTTCCTATTAATTAATTAATTATTTCTTGCTTTACTTTTAGATCAAATGCATTGTTAGGCGTCTTCTGCCTTCCGCCCTAGCGCTACCTGAAAAACGTCTTCGCAGTCTGGCTGCATATGCAATTGCCTGCATCGCCCAGACAGATTGGCCTGAGTCCTGGCCTGATCTCTTCGAGGTACTTGCAGGTCTCCTACTTCGACAGCCTGGTGATGCAGTTATATCCCTCTCCACCGCCACGAGCTCGGATGTAGATTCAGTTAACGAGCTGCCCGCTATTCACGGAGTTATGCGCGCTCTTTCAGGTCTGAGTCTAATTTCCTATAAGCACTTTCGAAATTATGATACCTAAATGGATTGGTTCAAATCAGTTGACAATTGTCTTTTCATTACACCGAATACAGTATCCTAATGAAATGCTTACATTGTGTTCAGGGATCAATGAAATGATCCTGACTTCTTGTTCCGTCTATTTAAACTATAATGTCACCTATCAAGATGTAATATATGCTATTTGATCATGGATTTTTATACCTCTTTATGGTATTTCGATAGATATTTGGGTTTGAAGTTGATACACCTCTTTATAAGGTGGCACACAACTAAGAAATAATTGCTTTTCTCTTGTAACGCATTCGATAAGATCGATCATCGATACCTACTCAGAATCTCTTTACCTATAAGAAAAAAACATTTAATGCAAATGTTTGAATTTTATCATTTAGTTAATTTTGCATTTACCTCAGCTTGTCTTAAATGCGACGTACTTTACATATATTTTACCAG